GCCTATAAACTAGTTTGAAAAAATAATTGCTAACCAGAATCATTTAGTAACTTTCTATAGAAAGGAACCCAAGAAAATTGACTGCAATATTTGTCTACCTGCTAAAAAATGGACAAATACAAAAATCTTATTTTTAATGAATTTGTGTATCTGAAGGAATTAGTGCCAGAACAAAAGCTAGATAAACGCAGGCCAACCAACTATTGAGATTGACACAACTGAGGGGAGGACACCATTTATCAACCCAATGCTCCAGACTGGGACAGATAACCACCAGTAAATAGGAAAACTGCAAAGGAGCTATGGGCCTCAATTAGCAAAGTGGAGGTCCAACCAACCATCCACCAAAAAATTCATGGAGAGGCACACTACCTGAATAGTACAAAAGTAAACTAGCAAGTGACATGGTAAACAAAAAAAAGTCATGTTTACTGGGCCAAGTAACAGAGAAACAAACAGATCCCTCAGGGGAAAGCTAAGCAGACATACAATGACCAATAGCAAAAATCCATTCAGACAACTGTAGGAAAGCCTAGCATACCCAAGCGTTGGCTTCAAGAAAAGGAAGCCTGGACAGACAAAACATGTCCAGAGAAAAGACCAACCAGTCAACAGCTGAAAGCTTAAGCTGAACACTCCTAACCCTTGACTTCAGGGAGAGGGAGGAAAAGGTGTTATCTGATTTCCATGGATGTGAGAGGCCTAACAGCATAAAATCGAAATGGAGAGAAGGAAAAAAGAAACCCTTAAAGAATATTTAAACACTCAGCAAGCAGTAGATATATGCAAAAACATTTTAAAAAGAAAGTTTACAAAAAGGGTCAAAGCTTACCTGCGTCTCCCGTCCGAACATCTGAAGATCCACGGGCGGGCGCATGCGCAGTTCAGATTTTCGGCAAGGAGAGTCGCAAGGTAAGTGAATGCAGGCAACATGCACCCGCACAGACTCCGAGGGAAAGGAAGTGCCAGGAAGACAGAGGAATCAGCACTGGATCAGAGACCGGCACCAGTGCTAGATGGACAGCTGAAGACTACAGGAATAAAGAGGATAATCGGATAAGGTGGCATCATTCAAGGTAAGTCCTTACATTAGCATGGGGAGGGGGGAGTTTTGCCTTTAATGTCACTTTAAGTTGGGAAAAATGGAAGGGTACTTACCCTTGTTAAGGAGGGGATGGTGTGATCAACACCACTTGTGTAAAAGGGTGGGCAGTGATAAGGATATATTGTAATTCAAACTGGCAAAAAAAAAAACATCAGTACTAGGATGAGGAGTCCTTCCAATCAACACCCACAGGTGTTTCAAGGGTGGGAAGGCAACACTGCAAACCTACTTGACCAGTTATTAAAGAGTAATTCCACTTTCCCAGGTGAATTTGGGGGAAAACACCCAACAAACTGCCCCCTCTCCCCTCCTCCTGCTGCTTTTACCTTTAAAAGAACACCCCTTCCCTTCCACGGCTTCCATACGTACTGTATGCCATACATAGCAACGCAGCTGTGCGCTAGGCATTTAATATTACCCTCGCACCTTGCTAAGAAGCGCTTCTGATTGGTCAGCATGGTAAGAAGCACCATTTGCAAGCATAATTTGAAACACATAGTGCAGGGCTGCCATGCTGTGTATGTGGAACAGATTGTACACCGGCAGCCACGGAGGGAGGAAGCAGCCTTCTTTCAAAAGTTAAGAGCAGTGGGATGGGGGAGACAGGGAAGATTGGGGGGGGGGATTCAATTTTTCCAAATTCGTCTGGGAAAGTGGAATTACTCTTAAAATATATGATTCTAGGAATCATCCAACCTACCTCTGTAAAGTTGGCCATACACCTATAGATTTTCTATGGTCAGATGAAAAAGTGCAACAGATTTCCCCATCTACGCTAAACTGCTGGGCCAAGCTTCAGTATCTTGCTAGTCGGCCCCACTGGCTCTCAAAATATCTAAGCAATCTGATTGGATGCAGACATTGCTCAGCTGTTTTGAGACATGGAACATGTTATCTGACTGCAGAGCATTTCTCCTTTTCCCAGCCATGGTACCTTATCTGACTGCAGAGCATTCCTGCTCATCCCAGCCATGGTACGTTATCTTACTGAATATCATTCCTCCTCATCCCATGCATGCAAAGCATTCCTCCTCAATTCAGCCACGGTACACTGTTATCTGACTGCAGATCATTCCCCCTCATCCCAGCCACGGTACAATGTTATCTGACTGCAGATCACTTCTCCACATCCCAGTCATGGTACCATGTTATCTGACTGCAGAGCATTCCTTCCTATCCCAGCCATGGTACCATGTTGCTTAACTACAGAGCATTCCTCCTCATCCCAGCCATGGTATGTTATTTGACTGCAGATCAGTCCTCCTCATCCCAGCCAGTGTCATGTTATGTGACTTTAGAGCCTTCCTTTTCATCCCAACCATGGTACCATGTTATCTGACTGCAGAGCATTACTTCCCAGCCACAGTACAATGTTATCTGACTGCAGATCATTCCCCTTATCCCAGCCACGGTACCATTATAGTCCTTTATAGCTAGTGGTATTCTGCATTGTTGCATAATGTATTGTTGAATTTTATAGTCCTCTATAGCACGTGGTATTCTGCATTGCTGCATAATGTATTTCTGAGATTTGTAGTCCCTCTAAAGCTTGGAGTCAGTGGCAGAACTTACCAGGGTCACAGCGTTTGGAGCTGGGACCAGGCCATGGCACTCCACCACCTAAAATCATTAGTCTGTATTGTTTTAGAAAAACTGTAACATGACACCTAAGAAAAGTATCAGTAATTGGTAACGTGTAGTGTGTACTTGAAGAAAAGTATCGGTACTCGTACTTGGTCAGGAAAAATTGTATTGGTGCATCCCTATTTGCAAACTGTAGAGAAAACTAGCCCAAAATTGTGTGCAGCCTGGGGTGGCTATACAGCACGCTGGGGGCTCTAAGGTGAGAGGAGGACGGATACCCCTCGGTCTTGGACGGGGGAACCACTCGATCAAGGACCGCATTTATTCCACGGTTATCTTTGATACCATATACCTCTCACTCTTCGCTGCTTTAAGTGGGGTTCATGGTCCTGGCCTCTCTCCCCTCGTCTGCTCAGGTGTTGCGCCTGGACGGAGCTGTAGGGACGCACACACATCGACTTACTTGAATTATAACTTCCTCCTCCTGAAGAAGCGCCGTCAAGCGCGCAACGTCGAGAAAAAATTATGCTCCTCCATTGTTAGCTATCCTTTCATTGTCAAACCTCTGATCATGTAAAATTTAATTCTTAAAATCATGTTTTGAAATGTTATGTTACTCAATTATGTCAATCCTTTGAGTAACTTTGATTGTTTTCAATCATGGTTTTCAAGATCATGCACTGTGATTCAATTAATCATGTTACCTATGCATTTCTAAAGGATAGAACAGTAATGGGGTGACCTCTCAGGGAGTTATCCGATTAGGCTGCTTTTATGAAATTATTTCACCTCTTTTAATAATTTAATACAAATAAATAAATAAATATTTTATAATTTATTGTCTTGAAAGTTGTCATTTTGGTTCCTAAAACCCCTCAGCTTTTTCTTCTCCTTCATTGGTGCATCCCTAGTTGCAAACTGTAGCAGAAAACTAGCCCAAAATTGAGACAATGGGGGTGATTTACTAACCTAAACACACACACACACCAGGTGTGTGTGATTTTCACACAGCAAAACGTATTTATCAACCAAAAAGTCTCTAAAAGCATATTTCCACTAATGCCATATATGGAAAAATCATGCACATGATGCATATATAATGCTGCTTCACAGTTTAGACAAAAATGGTTAGCTCATGCATTTACATTCCTGCATTCATCAACGCAAGCAACACAACATAGAGCTAATTTACCCAACATCACCTTGGAATTCCTTCAGGGCTTTGCACAACACACCTGCTGGGTGTGTACACACTACAAAGGTGTTTAGATTCCACCCATAGATCATGCTGGGAGGGAACACACTGCAGAGGTGTATACACGTTCGTGGTGTGTTTATAAGGTTAGTAAATCAACCCCAATGTCTCACATACTCACAAAATAGCTGGTGCTGATGAGGATCACAGGTAGCCAGATGTGACTAAGTCGCTGTAGGCAGGCAGTGGAACAGGCTGGGGACCAGATAATCCACAAAGTGGTTCAGAAACAGGAGAAGCAGTGGGATAGTGCTTCTTCTAGGCTCAATAGCAGGAGTAAGAAGTCAGAGAAACACACAAGAAATGATCTACCTAGCAGATAACACAAGCAATCCCTCAGCCTTAGCCATGGGTCACAGTCATTTTAAAATGTTGCCTAAAAGTACCAACTGTAAGGTAGCTCCCCCATTGCTTTAGCCCGACTGGCTTTACTCACTATGTGAGTCCACAGAGACCGAGTCACACCAGTAGCTGTGCCAGAGCTCTGGATCTGAAGAGTGCTCTGCGGCTAACTAACACAGCATACAAAAGTCTGGAAAGTGCCACAATGCAGAGCCAAAAAAGACACATTGCAGGCTAGCCCCTCAATCTTCCATCCAGCTTGGTTTAGGTACGGCCTCCAAAGCTATTGCTGAGGATACACTGATCCAGATAGCTGCTGTGCAGACCCTCACTTGAGGTCCCCAAAGAAAAAATATATTTTTGGTGTACAGAGTATCCTGATTGAAATAAAAACAAATAAGAATAAAAAGGATAGCAAAAATATATTTAGACTTCTCTAGGACACTAACATAAAAATGAAGCATAAGGGTTGGAGGTGAGGTTATACGAGGACTGGCTTAACATTTTATGTTTGCCTGTAGATGTCAGTACAACCCTAATGTTTACGAATCTCTAGCATTGCTGTGTCCCACAATGAACGATAAAGAAATAATAACACTGGCAGTTGAAATGAAAACATTATTGGCATTTCTAAAATATATGGGAAGCCTAATGCTTGCTATGCGTGTAATGCCTAATGCTACACTTGTAACACTCCAGAAGCAGCAATCTTACCCCAGGTATAAATGTAAAGATGTTGTACTTCTGATTTTTTATAGCATTCCTGGGATATTTCTCTTCACATTTTTCTGGGCATCCTAGCCACACTGTTCGAGCTTTCAGTTCCTTTCTTCTTCTGCACACATTTATTAGCCAGTCACAACAGCTACAAAATAAAAGAACATGAAGATATTTTAAGAATTCCAAATGCTGTTGAATAAATCTTGTTTAAGCCGCCAAACAGATCACAATGGTACAAATGGAATAAGAGCAGAAGTAGCAATGCTACTGCCTAGCAAGCAGTAGCAAGAAGCTTGCCTACCCAAACAAACACTGGACACCAAAGTGAGATTTTAGTATAAATACTGTTGTAAAAGGGAACCACGCAAGCCTTTGTTCTGTGACTCCAATATATGGTTTCAGGGAGCCAAATATGTGCTTAATAATATTAATTGCAGCAATTAAAATACATTCAAATACTTTCAATGGTGTGCTATATTTTAATGTCACATGAATTATAAGGCCACAGGACAACACAACTGCACTTAATTCATAGTTGATGATTAAAAAAGCAGCCGGTCCTGTCAAGCTGCAGCAGTAATGCGTATACAAAAGAAAGATCTATATGCAGCACAAGATGAACAGAGTTCAATAGGTTCCAATTATCTGAAGATACTCCCTTGTTTAGGAACATAAGCCATATTTGCAGAAATGCACTGATGAGCTGTTAATTATTGACACGTAAAAGTCAATAATGAATAGCCCGATGGTGCAGTTTTTTTTCCCCCCCCCCCCCTCATATATATTTATTGCTTTCTAAAGCTGTATCTGCAGTGACATCCTAAATCTTGTCTTTTCTTGTCCACATAACCCAAAGGAACAAAACCAGGCAGATGACCAGTATTTGTTACTTTTATTACATGCTATTTTATTGTAGGTACTGCACAGACTTTTTTAGTCCTGGACATTTTGGTTAAAGAAACAGTAACAACAGAGATGCATTGCTATAGAAGTGCTTTATTTCTTTTTGCTCTAGAGCAATCACATGAATAATTAAGAAATCACAATTAAATGATCCATCTTTGGCATAGGCACAGAGTTTATCTGTGGCTGTGAAGAGAAGGTAGTTACTTAATCTAAGGCATCTGAAAGGCTGCATAAAGCAGATAACAATTTTTGCAAGCATATTGCAGACATTTTATGCATAATGAAAATTAGATGTTCATTGAAAAGAATGAAATCACTAGATTAGAAAACAAGCACACACTCAGCAAGGAATACCACTTATATCTTTCTGGATCTGTAATCCACATAAGAGAATTTTTTTTTTACAATGACTCCATAAACCCAAGAGTCAGTTCAAGGGTCCTCAGATTTAATCACAAGGCACACTGTCTAAGCTGAGTTAATACACTATGTCATCTCCATGTTTATGTAGGATTTCTCTGGGTGCTCCGGTTTCCTCATGCAATGCTAAAAGTATATGGTCCACCGTATTAAGGGTATGTTTCACTGTGGAACCTTAGGAGAGGAATTGATATAAGTTTTCTACTGTGCAGAATGGTTTGTGTCATATAAACAATTAAATGTTTCACAATGATGCTATGGAAGTCCAGAGATTTGAGTGAGTACTTTCCGAGAAATGCTACATTGATTTGCCTGCCATTTGTACAGAACTGCCATCTAACTACAATCTCCAGCTATAATTTATGGCTTATACATATAAATGTGTAAAATACAAATAATGTAAGCTAACCCATGCTTTTCTGTTACAATGATTATTTATTGAGTTGAGCTTCAGACATGATGATTAAGTTTCAAAAACACTAGTATCGGTATCAAGTGTCACTTACAATGACAATTAATGTTACATATGTCAGATCAGGGTCACACCTCTGATTCTTATAACACTAAAATGTCATTAAATCTACCTTATAGTGAATCTGTTGTTTCTTCTAAGCTTTTAAAAGTCCTGCCTGAGAGCGGGGACCACAAATAGAGATGAGGCTGGGCTTGGAGCATGTCCAAGCCTGCTGAAAACTGTGACCGCAGCCCCCTCCTTCTGACCCAATCAATGGCATCAGCTGCAGCGGGTGCATTCACTGCCCCTTTATGATGTATAGCTGCAGGGCAGGGAATGCGCCTCTCTGCAACTCATTGGGTCAGGAGGAGGGGTGGAAGTCACATTTCTGAGTTGGCTTGGGCAACTCAGGTGAACTGGGTTCGTACCAAGCCAAGCCTTATCACTAACCACAAGGTACCTATTAGAATTACTATCCAGAACACTGTTCTGTGTACCCCTTCATAGCTCATTTACATTGGTATTAAGGTTTCAAGGCTAGACCCTACCCACCAACTCCCCTCTGGCCAAGCAGAGCACTCCTAGCAGCAGCAGAGAGAGAGACAGCAGATGGGAGAGGCCTAGCTCTAGTGGCTGAAGCTCACTAATAATGTCCAAAAGTTACGCCCTTAATAACAAACATACACCAGAGAAGTGCATAGAATCTACTTTTTTAAGCTGGACTTCATAGACAAACTCCAGGCAAAATAATTATTAACCCATGAAGTGGGGTTACTCTTGTACTGCAAGGGTTAAGTCCTAATTTTTGCCTAGTGTTCAAAATAACAAAGTTATACTCAGCCAATCCTCCAAGCCGGCTGGCTGTCACAGCACTCCCTCCTGCCTGTCTTCTCCTCCGCTGCAGTGATGGTATGTTCCTCGTCGTTCTTACGTCTATACACTGTGTATAGAACGTGACTCAGGGCTCTTAGACTGCTGCAGTGTAGGGGAGAGATGCTCCAGGGACCGGTCTAAGAGCCAGCTGGCTTGGAAGATCTGGTGAGTTTAACATTTTTTTTATTTCTGACTCTAGGCAAAAATGAACATTTAACCCTTGTAGTGTGGTGGTAGCTACACTGCAAGGGTTATTATTTTGTTTGCCCAGAGTTCTGCTTTAACTTAAAACAGCTAAAAGTTTAGCTTTAAATGCTGTATTTAAAATGACAGGACATACGTTCGCTTTGGGGCACTGCCAAGAGAAAGATGAGAGACATGAGAACGAACAATGCAGAAGAGCTGAAGGCCGCTATTGAAGCATCCTGGTCTTCCATAACACCTCAGCAGTGCCACAGGCTGATAGCTTCCGTGCCACGTCGCATTGAGGCAGTAATTGCTGCAAAAGGGGCCCAAACCAAGTACTAGTACATATGCATGCTTATACTTTTCAGAGGTCCGATATTGTTCTATGTACAATTCCTGTTTTATTGATTGCATGTAATATTCTCATTTTTTGAGGTTGTGGATTTGGGGTTCTTGGGGTTTTCATGAGCTGTAAGCCATAATCATCACAATTATGACAAATCACGGCTTGAATGATCTTGCTTTGCATGTAATGAGTCTATCTCATATATTAGTTTCACCTTTTAAGTTGCATTCGTGAAATAAATTAACTTTTGCACGATATTCTAATTATTCGAGTTTCACCTGTATACTATTCTCCAACACAGAACTTTTAACTAATAACAAGACTGTCAACAAGCAGATCAGTTATCTGATCAAGTTTTGGTTAGCACACAGCCAACTTCCATGTGAAGGTAATGTACTGTGATTACTTTATTACAGGATAGTATGTTTAAATCTTTTCATGGACTTTTAGAAAAAAAGATTACAGAAAAGTCTAAATACTAGATTTTCTTTTTTCTTCTTAGCCAATGAGCCATAAGTCAAGTCACTGAAAGCAGTAAATTCAATATTTTACTGCTGATACTATAAAGTTCTTCTTCCCCACGTTTGCATGCAATCTCTTTTCTTCTGTTCTCAATGGGTGGCATTGCTCCTATTTTATAAGTCTTGGGATAAAGATGTACACTGAGTCTATTTAGAGAGAGTAATCCATGGCTATTTCATCTATTTTATTGATAACATCAAGTTGCACTAATCAAAATATTGTAAAGTTCAAAATATCAATTCCATTAGTGACATTTTAATATCTTAAAGTGCATTTCCACTTTTGCAAGCAAATTGGGACAGCATCTATTTTATGTTTGTTACATGTTTCCATTCACATAGCATAACCTAAAATAAATAAAATAGCTGCTTACATTTTTAAGTGCTTTATAATTGCTTAAAAACCCTACTTAGCCCCCCCCCCCCCCTCTTTTTTTGTTTTGGGGTGGCAGTTTTTTCTATGCTTAAAACCCCTACTTAGCCCCCCCCCCCCTTATTTAATGATGTGTGAAGTCATGTTTGTACTGTACTTGCAGATTTCATTATCAGTCGTAAACTAGATTTGAACACTGTCTGTCCTAACAAGGGGCTAAAGACTTGTATGTTAATGAGAGGAAGCTCAGTCTGACCTTCAATTTGTTCCTCTGATTCTACTTTCAAACTGCTCAGAGAAGCCTGGAATCTGCACAAAGGCCTTGAGAAAAGGTAAAAAATATATTTTTAAAAATAATTTTTGGGTATAGAAGAGGATAAATACTTACATCTTCAGCGACCATAAGTCCATTCTTCGATCTTTTGGAGAGAAAGCTGCACCACTGGTGTCAGACACTTGCTGTTGGGTCAGATAGCATGTGTCCAGCTGAATAACATGCTTTCTCTCACCAACCACTATAACACTATAGGACTTGACGCAGGAGTAAGTATTCATAATTTTTTATCATGGGTTGCAGGTGCCTGAATATTTTTTTTTTAGAGAAGTGACAGGGTCGTTTTATAGGAAAAGCTACTTTAATAAAAACTATATTAATCCACCATCTCTTGAACACTTATAACCTATAACCTTATAACTCCTTCACAGCTTACCTCTTCGACACTGAAATACTTTTATCTATGAATGGCTTCATATCCAGCCCAGTGGTACAACATTTGATCAATTATCAATCAGCCCGACTGTCTGTAGTGACCAATAAACAGGGCGACTACAAGCAGAGCCCACCTGAAAAGGATAATAGGCCTGCTGTCAGATGTAAATTGATATATTAGGCTGGAATTAAACATAGGAACTTAATTCATTTCCTCTCAAAGCTCTATGCATATGCATGACGAGCTTTATTCCTAACAAAACAATAGTATGGGGAAGTAGACTAATAGCAAATTACATCTAGTAACAATTACAATCTAATTACACTAGAAAAAAAATTAACAAAGACCACTCTATGGTGGTCTATGACATCATCACTCATGTGGTCTGAATGGATCAAGAGATTAAAGCATTACCACAGTCACATGCCCTTGAATGTGCTCATAAACCATATAGAAAGGTAATACAGTAAACTCCCCATTATCCGGCATTCAAGCAACCGACACAACAAATCGATGACATAATATGTTCTCGATTGTTGTTTTTTTTGCCAGTTGTTTGATAGAAATGAGGACACTAAAAACTTTCCAATGAATGGGGCCGCGGGGGGGTTCCTTCAGAGTTACTATTAGCTCTCAAGCAACCAGAAACCACACCAAACCAAGCAATCTACTGATCCCCGTAGGTGCCAGATAACTGGTAGTTTACTGTATAAAACTTGGGGTGGCCGCCGGTCCTGATGGTCAATCCGCGCTTACTGGGACATTGTGTGATGCCGGGAGGAGGAGGCGGCTGAGGCATGGGGGAGGCCGCGGGTACCGAACGGTCAGTCCACACTCACCGGGATGGCCAGATTTATCCGCTCAGTCCACTATGATCATCCAGGGGAGGAGGAGAGGAGGAGTCCACGGGTCCTCTGGCAGTGCCAGAACAGTCAGTCAGTGTTCAGAAGCATGCGAGTGAGGCGGGGAGGCAAGTCGATTATTACCGACTTTATCTATTCGTTGTTTCAGCCCCACAGACATAATTTTTAAAGTTTATGATTTTAAAACACTCAAGTACAAAAAAAAAATGAAGTGATGCTTAAGTGTCTATACAGGTACAGTATAGGGATCTGTATACGGATATTCAAAGTGCTTCAAGTTAAAGGGTTATTAAACCCTCCGGTGTTTTTGTATATATCTACTGTTAGCAAGCAGTAGATATATGCAAAAAGTGCACACAAAAAACACACTTTAAAAGCAGTCTAAACTTACCTGTGCCTTCCCTGCGAGCTGCCATCCGAAAATGTAAAAATTCTCGGGTGGCCGCAAAGCATCTTGGGGCGGGCGCGAATGCGCAGTTCACATTTTCGGCCGGGAGACGAGGAGAGACACAAGGTAAGTCTATGGACGCGTGCACCCGCATGCAGACACCATGGGACAGGAAGTGCCAGCAAGGACAGAGGAGTCAGCGCAGGATCGGAAATCCACAGCAGCGCTGGACGGATTAAGAGACATCATTTAAGGTAAGTGCTGACATTAACCTTAGGGGGAGGGAAAAAAATCTTTGACTTTAATGTCACTTTAACAATAATGGATGTATTAGAGATATCCTTAAAGTAGTATTAGACTCTCAAACTTTTTTCTGTAATTAATTCAGATCAAACAAATACGTATTTGCAAAGTATCAGCAAAGTATCATTATTTTTTATCACTTACAATCGTCATGTTTCCTAACAGCTTCAACTTTCTTAGCTCTGCTTCCCTGAACTTCCTGTCAGCATCTCTCCATCTACAAGCCTGGAGAAGAGAGGAGGGGAATGGCTTGCCTTGCTGTGCATATGTGTTTGTGGAGACACGCACGGCTTACTAGCAGACACAAGGGTGGCTCTATAGGACCTTGCAAGGGAAAGGAGCCACCCTAAAACAGGATATCAGGGTCAGTGCTCAGGGACCAGCTGATTCTGCAGGAAACTAAAACTTTTAAACATCAAGAAGCACCATTTATTGTAAGCGATTTAAAGGAGAACAATGGGGTCAGGGCTTTTCCCCATAGTTCACCTTAGGGTAACGGGAGGACACAAACTAGCATCCTCCCGTTACCCTAAGCTCAGTATACCGCGAGCTACAGTCAGCGCTGGCGGATCGGAGGGGGGAATCCAGCCCCTCCCCCTGTCACGGCAGAGAACCGTGACGGGATCAAGAGGTGAGCGAACGCCGGTATATGTTCGCTCACCTCCCGATCTACTGAGCCGACCTGTCACAGGTCACAGGTCGGCTAGAACTATGAGGTGAGTGAAAAGCACTCAATTCATAGTTCTCCTTTAATCAGACTTTCAAAAACAATCTGACTTTAATAAACTTTAAAAGCATAATATTAAAATGTATAATTTCCGTAGAAGAATATTTTTGCTAGTTTTCCTACCAAATATACTCCCTATAAACCCTATTGACAGCAATGAATGAGAATAGTTAGCAGAAAATACAGCATATCATTTGCCAGTGCAATGAGAACTTTAAGTACCTTTGCACAATATTGTATCCACCTCTATTAGCAGAGTTCTCATCACTGCAGAACAAATATACACAAAGCTTTGCTTTACAAGCAACAATCACATATTTCTTATTAAGTTTTCAGCAGCGGCAACTTTCTTTCTACAGTGCAACCGTACTGTAATTATTATACTCTACAGGTAGCAATAGTAATCAAGCCAAAAGCAACAGTGTAGTCATGTCATTCTTAAAAGATCAGCATTTTCCCATGCTTCTGCATAACAAATGTGTTGCAGATTAATTGAAAGTGTACAGGGCATCTCAGTGCTGAGATTAATCTGAGCATTTGATATCCCTTTCACTTCATATGGAAATGCCATTCAATGGAACCATTTTCATTGGGACAATGTGTTTTTGATAACAAGTGGAATGTAAATCTCATGAGAAAGAAATCAATCCAACCAAAGTAGTCCTCTGTATTGATTTGTGTGCATTATAATTTCACAGACTTGAATGGAATTTCAATGTAACAAAAAAGAAAAGAAGCAATTTCATTGCAAGAGAAAATATCAGGATAAATGGGAAGTTGGGAAATTTTGAAGCAAGGATATTACATGTTTAAGAAAAAAAGAAAACAAACAAAAATGTCACCCACAGTTATTCCTCTATCATGTAATACCATGCCACAATAATAGATTCCTTTATGTGGAATTGTAACTAAAATGTTCTTTTTTTTTTTTTTTTCTTGGCACAAAGCAAATAATTTATAGAACACAAATGAGGACGAGCTTTCTTTTCATGTAACTACTTTTGTGTGGGTAGTTATATATACTACAAATATTTCTCAACTAACAGCTTATTTATCCAAGAATGCATAGCATGCAATGACACTTGAAAGAGAATTAAACAATAAGAAACCAATAAGATTCTACTTCTACTAACAAACTAAACTCCAATCAGTTACCAAAAGTAAATAAGGATTTGGGGTACATTTTAACATACAGTTATTTATTTATATATAACTGATGAGCAGTAAAAGCTTTGAAAGCGTCGCCTATGGACAATTTTGGGTATGGTATTTTTTTGCGATTTTGCAGGCGCACGCAATTTTAAAGTTTGACATGCTTGGATTATTATTACCCACATTATTGGTAAAAAATAACTAGACACCAAGCATGTCAAACTTTAAAATTGCGTGCGCCTGCAAAATCGCAAAAAAATACCATACCCAAAATTGTCCATAGGCGACGCTTTCAAAGCTTTTACTGCTCATCAGTTATATATAAATAAATAACTGTATGTTAAAATCTACCCCAAATCCTTATTTACTTTTGGTAACTGATTGGAGTTTAGTTTGTTAGTAGAAGTAGAATCGTATTGGTTTCTTATTGTTTAATTCTCTTTGAAGTGTCATTTCATGATCTCCCGCTGATATCCGGTGACAGAGCCGCCCTGCGGGTGCCGAGCCCTAACCGGACACAACAGGGATCACCAGCAGCGGAGGCGGGTGGGGGGGCGCACACCTGCACGCATTATACAAGCGATCCAGTGCCTTTACAGCCGCCGGACCGGTTGTATGTAAACAGGCACTGCTGGCTGTTTAGAATTTAAGCAGTTTTCCTGCTCGAGCGCTCCACCCAGCGACGTGCACAAGTGGGATGAGTGAGGACATCTAAAACACCCACTCACATCCAAGAAGCCCCCGGCCGGCCATTTAATTACAACGGCCGACCGGGAAGCGGTTAAACCGGACACCCTCCAAAATATATGTGCATCCCTAAAATTAATACATTAGGTCAATGTGGCAAAAAAAGGGTAAACTACATCCAATTACATTATGTAGATAATTTAAAGGACACGAAAGTTCATAATTTAGATTAAAAAACCCAGCCCCCTTCCTAATCCCCTACACAGCAGTTGCTTATTTACCACTGCGTTGTCTACTTCCCAGCAGGTAAAAATCTAGTGCAGGTCCATCCGCACTGACTTTTGAAAGTTCTGCAGATTTGAATGTGACATTGCTCCTGTGATGCAGGTATGTCCCCTTTAAGTCTATAAAACATTAGTCTGCAGGCATCCAGGCACTAGATTTTTAACAAACTAGAATGTAGACAAGCAGGGAGGCCGCCATGGTTGGAGGAATGAAGAAAGCACCTGCCGGGGATGGTTCAGCTTGGGGTAGTTTATAAAATGTAAGAACTTGTCCTTTTCAGCAGTTCTTGCCACATTACTTTTCATACTTGAGCCCCTCTGTGGTAAGCCTTGCATTTGCAAACTGCAAACACGTAAATAGCACTTGGGTGTCAAAAGAATGGCTAAGCTCAGATGTTACAGCTCATAATTATAACACATACAAACCTTGTGCACATAAATTTCCAGCCTCCACAGACAAACCATTCTAATCCTCTTTTTCGACGAGCTATTCTGGCTCTTGGTAAGGTATGGTAATCACTTTCATCATTCTCAAAGCCTTCTTCGGACATCATGAGTGGCATTTCATCCAAAGGGGAGGCTTCATCCTGGTACCTAAAAAAATCATGAAGGATATGAATAAACATTTTCATAGCGATAGCCACAGTAAACTGGCCAAATGGCTTAAAATATATTTTGTCTAAGATACAAGTGCACTGGTTATTTACTGTCTGATGCATGCACCTCAGGGGTGTGGGATTCCTATCGATCGGCGCCTGAGACATTAAGTTCTGGGGGCCGAGCAGGTGTTTTTTTTTCTACATTGTACATTTCTTCAATGTAGAGCAGGGGAGCCGTCACTCATTTTGTACAAGTGACCTGGGTGGCTATATAGCCACCCAGATCACTGGTAGTAGCCTGCCTTGTCTATCTAGCGCTCTCTAACACACATCATGCACATTAAAAGGGTAAGTTCACTTTCCTAAGTAATTTGGGGAAATGGAATAACCCACTCAAATCTGCCCCACTCATACTTATTTACCATAATACAGTTTTATTTTTGTTTTTTTTGTATCAAGTAGATTGTCATACGGGACAAGTAAGTTGGTGCCCCGCTTCAGTCCTTGGACCAGTAGTTTCTTGTTTTTTTATAATTCCACACAACCGCAACATAATGCTTTGTAATATCTATTTATATAGAGGCCAACATAACTATTTTCACTCGTCACACCAATTTCACCAAATACACAGGAAACGATTGTGTCACATGTGTATAAGATCAAATTGGCTGTCTGTGTGTTGCTAAAAATGCCTCTAAAGTAAGAGAATTTGGCAACACCATACAGAAAGATCTATGTTTAGTAGGAATGCACCGATATATCGGTACCGAAACATATCGGCCAAAAATTGCACTTTTGGCTAAATGCTGAAAGTGCCATTTTCCTGCCGATACATCGGCACATCCCTGTTTCTTTCCTCCCCGCTGGGCGCTTCTCTGTGTCCCAGCGCTTTAGACCCCTAATATTTCCACAAAGCCTCTAAAAGTAAAGTAAAAAATAAAAATATTTAATAAAAAATGAATGAATAAATAAAAATAAAATATTTAAAAAATGTGAACAAAAAATAAAATTAAAACATTTTCGGTTTCGGCCTGACAATGTTTTTTATTTCGGTTTTGTTTCAGTTTTTACATTTCTATTTCGGTGCACCTCTAATGTTTATGCCTGATGCAGACATCCCAGACTTGCTTTATCCTGGGGTAACAGTAGTGATCATGTGGAAAAACTGTTTTTAAGATCAGTTGCTCTGGGGGTATCAGCATAGATCAGACCACTTTTGGATGCCTTTCTCAGGGCTGTTCACACCATTCAGTGCGCTCACTGCTCAGTCCTGTGGCATGAAAGTACTGGATCGCATAAACAAAGCCTCCCTGTGTTCTGACGGGAGGGGGAGTGGTGGTGCCATTCATTTCAATGGCACCGCAGACACGCCTCCCGCCCGCAGTGCAAACGCCTCCAGCGGAACGTGTGGTACCGCAATGCCCTGTGTTCTAGTGCAATGCGATCGCAAAAACAGTGCATCCAAACTCTGCCACCATCTACTGCCCGAATCAGTTGCCGAGAGGCACATTCCCTGCTCACAGCTATACATCACAAGGGGGGGGTTGCTCCCCGCTGCAACTGCCAACACTGATTGGGCTGGGAGGGGGTCAGCCATAGTTTCGGGTGAGCTTGGCCGAACTAAACAAAAGTCTAGCATTATAATCCCATTAAAGTGTATGTGCAATTTGTCTTTTTGTTTGTTTTGAATAGAATAGGGCAGGATTAGGAACCTCGTCGTGATTTTTTTTGCCATCTGAGCCCCGTTGGGTGGATTCACCCTCTCTGTCCTGGGGTGACCACTTGCTGTGAGAAAATGATGGGGGACAGAACCAGAAGTCAGGGGAATCTTTCTATAATGACAACTGTCTAAGAGGAGAATTACCTCCACTTTATAAGGGAGATTCCTCCAACTTTCTCTTGTATCTCAGGTCAAGGTGTGAAGGGAAATCAGCAAACGGGTCACAGACAGCTAAAGTAATCTGAGAGGGTATCATCTGAGATTCCTCTCGTGAACCAGCTCAGCTCTCAGCTTTTTTGGGGTAATTTATACCACCCATAGATATTCATTTTTCATAATCTCACTGACACTTCCACTTACTGGTACTACCAAACAATATGAAACTAGGAAAAGCCCTCTGTGAAATTGTTTTGCTACTGACAGCATGGTATTAACCTTGTTCTATTATGATATATATATTACAGGTGCACCGAAATAGAAATTTAAAAACTGAAACGAAACCGAATAAGAAAAACTGTCAGGCCAAAACCGAAAAAGTTTTTATTAGCCTCATGTGACATCGCTGTCTCCGCCCCCACACCACTCTGCCGCACTGTGATAGGCGGCCGAGCGGTGTGGGAGGAGAGACACCGGCCGCTCACAGCGCTCTCCTCCCGCAGTGCTCGGCCGGCTGTCACTTTCTCTCCTCCCCGCTGGGACATAGAGCAGTGTCCAGCGGGGAGGAGAGAAACCTGGGATGTGCGCTGTATCGGCAGGAAAATGGCACTTTCGCCATTTAGCCAAAAGTGCCATTTTCGTCCGATATATTCGGCGGCCTATATATCGGCGCATCCCTAATAAATAGATAGATATTTGCTTCTGACCTGAAGAAGAGAGGTTCACTCTCAAAAGCTTGTCTTGTATATATTTTGTTAGTCCGAGAAGAAAGGTATCATTGCACACTGCAATACTGCGTTTTTGTCTTTTTTGACATCTTGTCTACTGGACTAATACGGCTTACCCATTTATATTGCACTATATATATATAGTACAGTTATAATTTTTTTTTTAAATACTACCTGTTTCTGATGCACAATATTACTTGATGTATAAATAAAATAAAAAAATAAAAGCTACAAATGGTGAAGAAAAAAAAACCCACTAAAAGAAACAACTTTTCCCAAAAGAGAAAAATTTAAAAAGCAACATGGTGCAACCCAGAAAACAATTACGGCATGTTCCATTTTGTGGGATATGCTCTTAAATTTACAGCTGCATTCTATTGTGAAAAAAATAATACATGCAAACCATCATCATGTTTAGTATCATCGACTTCAAAATGCAGCCTTTGAACTGGCATGCAATTTATTCTATTTCAAAAGCAATTTTCCTTTTGTGTAGTAAAATTTTACCTCTGTATTTAAAAACAATAAGACGATGAATAATGGATTTTTCATAGCTGAGATGAGGACAAAGTCTAATTTTCTTTGTAATGTGTGTCTTGCACACTTAATTGGTTTGTCACTCATGGACAATCAAGGCGTCAGGCAATTAAGTATAATGTAAGAAACTTTTCTAAGAGGAAAAGTACTAAAAACAAACTAAACAAAATGCTGGAATAGAAGACATCAAAACTCACAGCATGCAAGTTTAGTTCTCTAAACTGTCTTCACTAGAGTATGCTTGACATATAGATAAACCCACGTATGGTATAGACTCGATGTGATAGATAATGGGACTGAAAATACAGACAAATAGAATTTGACAGACATTGCTGCAGTTTTCTTACATATGGCCCTTGTAAAAACCTACGCTATGGTTAACTGGCTTCTGCCAAAATTACCTTCAAAAGAATCTGTCATAAGTGCCTTATGACCAGCCATAACATTATGACCACCAGCATAATATTAAGTAGGTCCCCATTTTGCCACCAAAACAGTCCTGACCCATCGAGCCATAGACCTCTGAAGGTATGCTGTGGTATCTAGCACTAAGCCATCAGTAGCAGATCCTTTAAGTCCTATAAAGCTGGCCATACACTGTTCTATTTTTTTTTTCTTTGGCAATGGTCACATTTACTGCTTTATAAAAATGTCCTTAGATCTTTGTTCAAACAGTACCTACAAATAAAAGTGATAGACCTGGGCAAATGACACATAAAATCAACATGGTATAATCATTCTCAAAAATGCAGATGTGTCACATGAAAACATTATGTCCACCTCTACATATACCATCACTTTAAACTAGGGATGCACCGATATATCGGCCGCTGAAACACATCGGCCATAAATGGCACTTTTGGCTAAATGGCACTTTTGGCTAAATGGCACTTTTGGCTAAATGGCACTTTTGGCTAAATGGCACTTTTGGCTAAATGGCACTTTTGGCTAAATGGCACTTTTGGCTAAATGGCACTTTTGGCTAAATGGCGAAAGTGCCATTTTCCTGCCGATACATCGGCGCATCCGTGATTTCTTTCCTCCCCGCTGGGCGCTGCTCTGTGTCCCAGCGGGGAGGAGAGAAAGTGACAGCCGGCCAAGCACTGCGGGACAAGAGCGCTGTGAGCGGCCGGTGTCTCTCCTCCCAAACCGCTCGGCCGCCTATCACAGTGCGGCAGAAAGGTGTGGGGGCGGAGACAGAGCCGCTTTCCCTTTCTCATGGTCGCTGTTGTCACTATCTTATTTAGGGATTAATCTTACTCCCTCATTTGACCTCTTATATCAGGCGAATTTCCCTCCTATGTTAAAAAAATTGAAGGGGGATCTCGAAAGGTGGTCCCTGTGTAATCTTTAGCTAGGGACCCGGGATATGCCCTCCTTAATGAGGCTGTCCCCGGAGTCTCGAGGCACGGTACACGACTGATAATCTTTATATTTTTGGCAGCTAAAATCACCATTGCTAGGGCCTGGAAAACCCCTAGGATATCATTGAGGCAAGTGAAGAATAAGCTGTCTTGGATCATGATCCATGAAAAGCTAGCAAGTATTCTTGCAGATAAAGTCACACAATTCGATCAGATCTGGGGGCCTTGGCTGGCTTATACAAGTCCTACAATAATGTAAATACATAAGGGGGGGAACACTGTCAGCTAATTTAGTCTGCTAGGGGTTATAAATCTAGATTAATACCCTTAAGATTTAAAATAGGGGTGAAGAATTTAACAGACTCTGGATTGGACTCCCATGGACATCATGTCAGGTGGAGGAGGTTTTGGGCTATTGTTAAATGTAGAGTAATAGAGTAACTCTATTTATGGGGAAAGCCAAGACCCCTTATAGACAATCCTCTGGCAT